GGTAACGGAAGAGGAAAACAAACACACACTGTTACTTCAGCACACTATGTGCTTTAAAATATTTATATTTACAAAAATAATAGTAATAATGTAATTTAACTTGTTAAAGTTTTCTAATAATGTTGGCATAAATTGTGCTTAAATTGTTAAAAGTTCAGATTTTCATACAATACGTTATATGGTATATGCAGACAGAAACATTTAAATCCTAAATCTTTCAGATACGTTCACCTCTCCAATTTTACTTACAAAACATTGAAAACCACCCACCTTATTGGTCTACAAAGGGTGTATCTTCTCCGGAGCTAAATAGCACTAATACGGGAAAAAAACAGTTGGTACCTTTATCTCGACATAACACAACATTATTTCAATAGTATATTATGCAACAAGTACGGCATTTGACTCGCGAGTTTATTTGACACGAACGGAGCACAGCGGAGCGAGTTTTTAATAAACGAGTGAGTTAAAAGTTTACCGAACGTGTTGCATACTATACTTTTTCTACGACCGTTAGTTTTTGGGTACATTTTCGCAAAACAGCACGAATACATTCATTGACATTACGGTCAGAATTGACAAACGTCAAAATTCAAAGCGTGGGAAATATCTCCGAAAACATCCGATCGCTCCCAAATCCGTGCGGTAAAATCTCGGAAATGTCCGAAATGGCTCGGATTCGTGAGAAACGAAATTGACGTGGTAAAGTGACGCTTCCCGCACGCTAGATTAGGTATTTTACAGACGGGTGTAGAAACATATCTTTTTCGTATAAAGCTTCTAAAGTGATGAGCAAATTACCAGTAAATATTTTAAAGCATTTATTCTTAATTAATTATAGAAATAGTTACTTTTGATACTTATTTTTGATAATGAGAACGATAATGATATGTGTGCCAATGTTTCTGGAGTGTTTAGATTGATGTCCATGAGTGTTTGTTTGTTTGCTTCCTTCGTATAAAAAAGTTGAAGATGAAAAGGGTGAGACTTCACCTATTGTCCCATATTTTTTTGATTTGTTATGAATAAATTGCTTTTTGGATAAGATACAATAATAGTTGTCCGGAAATTGTTAATTTAAGATGTTTTTGCAAAAGTATTGAGCGTTGCGTAAGCTACCTATCGCATGGCGATTTTTTTCCCCAATGTGCGCCACTGGTCGCCCGAATCTTGCGACGCTCTAATTGCCATGACGCAAAAACCCATCTCTATTGTTTCGAGTAGTCTTCCGTTGTTTCTACTCCGCATGGCGTCATGTCCGTTTCCGCCTTGCCCCCCCTGGAACCGCGGGAGACTGGGCGGAGGTAGTTTGTTTCGCAGTTCGGGCCAAGATGACGCTAAGCATTAGCCCAAGAAAACAGATAAATCGCCCCCAAATATCCCGCTACCGGGAGGGGAACTTTAAATATATTACGCCGCGACATTATGGCTTGATTTATTTTTCGACTGAAATTGCGGACCGTTCGATCAAAATACCGTTTGCAGGAATCCGAAGGGCATGTTTCGTGTATATCTGCGTCCGCGTCCGGATCAATGGATCGGTCCTTATTAGGATTACTTGGCTCAACGGGATTGTCAAACAATTTGCCTTAAGTGGCCCTCCATCGGGCCCCGTTGGGGGTTGTTTCCTCCCTATGATGGATTTGAATCGATGCGGCATCGCTTGGATGCGATACGTTCGTCTCCTATACTTTATAGTCCTCGGAGTGAAGGGTAATAAAAGTCCATTTAGGCGTGCGAGAGTTTGCAGGGCGCTCAATCTCCAATATATATATATTTTTAATTTCATTTGTTTTACCGCCCGAATTAAGTCTAGAAATCAAGAATTGTACCTGTATGTCGATCTCAACAAAAGCGTACTACAGCGTCAGTCAATTAAAACTTTGGGAAGCATTGGAAAAAACAGACATCAGCATTAATAATAATAACACTGCTTTATTTTTAATGACAGAAAAGACTTAAAATAAAACTAAACGATAAAAAACGATAGCCCACTATTTACATCGAAACCTGCCCAAAAACAAAAATTGTTCATGGTAATGATAAAAAATTACCCTTTGGACTATCTTTTCATTTGAAAGCAACAGGGTACAGCAAGTAAAAGTTAATATCACACACCCACAGCAATGTGTATTAAGTTTAGATACATTTGATAAAGTGCTGTTCGACCATCACATTGATCCTACACACATAGCTATTAGATAATATAGTGGCCCTACTATGGTACAAATTGATGTGCCGCGGGCGGCGTTGATATTTTCGTAGATTTCCACACACCTAAGTCGTTTTCCGAGAACATTTAACGAGATCTAGCCATATTTTCAAAAAATACTACCGTAAAAATGCCGCATCCGAATTATTGACGATCTCTCCGCCGCCATGCCGCAAGATCATGGCTTAAAGACGAATCTCGCACATGCGCATGTTTAATGGACCTTTTTAATTTTTTTTCATTATTGCTTCATAAGTTCCTGTACTGCATACTGGTTATATGGTCCTACCCTCAAAGAATAAGGAAGGATAGCGCATACTTTAAACCTTGAGAGACTCCATGTCAAAAAGCAGGAGTAACAAACATTGACCAAATTCTTTTAAGGATAATATCTATGTAACTTAAACTGGAAATAATTTTAAGCATTTACGCTTGACACTCTCCCAACCATATTATAGATGAATATTCCAGTTTACTTATTTAATACAATGTTAAGGGTTGAACTATTGGACAGACCTGAGCAGTTTCAAACACAGTAGCTCAGTAATCTGATTGCGCTTGCCGTTGTTCTTGATGCGGGCTTAATGATAGTAAAGGTACGCCGTTAAGTTTCGGAGGTCAACACTTATTTACCAACTAGTAAAAAGTTTTGTAATTCCTTGCAGTCATGGTGATGTCCAGAAAGATCTTTAGGCATCCGCAAACAACAAATGAGATAATATTAACGTAATGGATAAATAGTTGATAAAAATCAAAAAAAGGTAAAGGACCCAAATTTGATCCTTGAGGGGTTCCTTACGTAGCATCAAAAACTTTAGACTTGCGCAATCATATTCGGTTATAAATTACTCTATAACAAGAACACGAGTAAAATAAAGAATGGACTGGCTTTATCAAAAGGATTTGGTATTGACAAATGGTTTTAAGAAGGTTGTTGCCCCAAAGATGTAGAAAAAATCGCAGATGTGTACTTTGCTGAAGATCAAATACCCTAATGTATGAAGACTTAGGGAATATGACCCGCGAGCTTAATGAAGGATACGACAAGTGAGGGCTGGAAGTGAATATCAACAATTCATAATATATCTGCATTGGCGGACAACAGCGTATTCTGGGTCAAGAACAAGTCAAGAAATAGATCAGTGTCGAGGATACATTTGTATTAGAAAAGTTAATGACCTACTATGGGACGGAACAATATCCTGACAAAATACACAGAACTTATAATAATATGCTCAAGAGCATTGTTACCTATGGAAGTGACCTATAGCTCTTGAATAATAAAGTTACAGAATTGGACTATTGAGCTTAACTAAAACTGAGCTGACCTGACTGCCAAAACATCAGCAAGTTGCCCAAAATCTTATATTTTAATCATAAGAAAAAAGTAATAAAATGTACGAATAAGTTCAACTTTTTCGACTCTCGGTAATTTCATATCTGATCGTTTTCAATAAAAAAATGAGACAAAGATACTGTAATTGACAAAGTACAACAATATTGATTTAATTCTTGGGCCAAACTCGAAATTCTTTTAGCTTACAACAATGCAAAGAAAAGTTTTATATTCAATATTCTCCAAGTTCTTGCTAAACATTACATCTCATAATTTAGTTTATCATCCGGCATATAAATGTACAGCACAGTAACTTACTTAGACACTATGGTTAAAACAAAGCAGTTGGGAACCAAACTATGTCTTATGAATAAGAAAACGCTGCTGTTAAGCCGTAGTATTCACAGTATTACAAGATTACAAAATGGAATTCTTTTTCTTAAAGTGTCATCTCCATTCAATAAAGACCTTGTTCGCTCGATGTAGACCTTCCAAATTTGTGCATGGTATCCTTAACTTTCTTCGATACACCTACATTTCAAACGCTTCCAGCTTATTGATTGTGCTTACTTTTAATCTTCAGAACCCAACACTCTAAAGTGTGGAGTACAAGTAGCATTTGATAAAATTATGTCTTGTCTGAATGCTTATACTCTTGCGCAGAGAGTGTTTCGCATCTTTAGGAAATTTTTTCCTGCCATTTCGAAACTTACTCTGATCCAATTGCCCAAATATTTGAACTTCGGGACTCTTGCTATTGGTGTTCCATCTACAGTTATGTTCGTGCATTGGTTTGGATTACGATTTATTACCATAACCCTTGTCTTTTTGTATTTATCTTAAGGCCCATCGAGTCGCTTAAGGGGGATATCTTATCCAACAGTCTTTATAGGCATTCAGAGCTGTCATCAAATCCACCATTTACTTTATGCCGTCCTCTGTTCCTTCGAGTGCACTTTCAAATATCAATTTTGAGTACATATTAAAAAGCTTAGGACTCAGCACACTCCCTTTGTCTAACTTTACGTTTTATGGGTATCGTTGTTGTTTCGGAACTTTCTAATTTTACTGACGCCACTTTTACTACTACTACTTTTAATAATGCTCAGCAATTTCTTTTGTTTGACGCAGTCAAATGCATTTGTATAATCTATGAAACATATGTACACTTCCTTCCTCTGGTCTTTACACTTCTGCAGAAGTACTGACAGAAATAGCGTTACACCACGAATTCTCCAGTAAGTGAAAAAGTTGTTTCCGAATGACTGGAGTTTGAATGGCTGCCATTTCTAGGTCCAGGTAGACTAGTAAAAGACGCCAAAAGTGTAATTCCGCTTTTTTATTAAAAAAAAAATACCCATCCCAATTTTCATGGAGCATGGCCAGGATGCTGTGATTGCTGTGATAACTACAAAAATTTTTTCGGCCTGTACATGTTATCTTATTTTCCAGGATCGTGCGAAACAAGGCGGCGGAGAAAGCGAAACACGCACACCAAGTGGCGACGAGCGGAGGCTCGTCGGTCGCGTCAACCGGCGGCTCCGTGTCGGTGATTGCGCACGCGCCAGCCACCCAAATGACTGAACCACGATCTGGCGGCTACAGCATCAACGGCATCCTCGGGCTCCAGCACGACCCCAACGGAAATAGCATCAAAAGGAAGAGGATAGACGATCATGGTAAGTTCGGCCGTACTGCTGACCCGATCCGAATCCCGGCGAACGGTGACGAAAGCGTCGAATTAGTCGTTAGATTGGGGGCCTAATGAGTGCCGCATAGACGCGTTAATAGCGTCCGTTGTTTGGAACGACCGGCTAATTTGGCGTCGCAAATCACACAGACGCTCTGTAAGTTGGCAACATGGCGGAACGGCGTCGACGCCGAAATAGATCGGGGCGACGCCGACCGCCTTTTCGGTTTTTGTTCCTGTTTCGAGAACATTTGCTGCTTGTTTTTAATCAATTTCGCTTTACGCGTCTAAAATATGAACCATAGTGTTACCGGATTAGGGAAACGGTGAAGAAGAAGAAGCAGAAAAATATTTTCGACACAATTGTTATCTTGAATTTTAAAACTTGGTGTCTACAAAAATTTCTAACTATTTAACTTTAAAGCTGAGACAAATGCATTTTTTTTATTTAATGCTGTTTACTTTATCTCTGCTAGGAAAGTGGTGGCGGTGTTTCAACTTTTCCACATTTTCTTAAATTAATGTCGATATCTCCAAAAAGGCTTTTTATCAAACTTGAAGTTGTTAAATAAGGCTTTTTTTAAGCTAAAGAATAGCTAAAAAATACTTTTTCAGCAATATTTTCATTTCAGTAGTTTAGTGTTTTCTTCTTAGGACATTCATTTGATATTTTAGAAACAATAAAAGTTGTGCAAAGTTGTAGGGATTCAAAGTGTATTTCTTCGGAATTCACAAATGGTAGTTTTTACACAGTGTTACTAACAAAGCTCGCACCATATTAATGAGTATTAGCAAATGTCGGGAATCGGGAATCGGGAAAGTTTATTGCCCTGTTAAAATAAAAATTTTTCAAAAAAATATTTAAAAAAATGGTTATTTTTGAATATCTCGAAAAATTTGATTGGACAAAGTTGTTTCTTTTTCCATAAATTTATCAAAATCCGACAAACTCGATCTTCTTTCCTCGCTTTTCCAAACTATTTTCTTTTATATATGCTAATTTTGAGAATTATTAAGAATCGAAATACGGGAATGGACCATACTACACTGACTACACTGACCAAACACTGAATTTTATAGAAAATCTTCAAATTAGTTATCCAAAAATATCAGATGGTGCTAAACAGCCCTCAGGCCAGCTTATTGCGAAAATAATAAATAAATTAGTAAAAAACATATGTATGAATATGTGAACAACAAAGAACTTAAAAAAACAGAAAAGAAAAAATATACGTGAAGAAAAATAACACGAAATTGACTAACCCTGAAAAACAAAAAAAATACTACTATAACTACCATTAGTTTAAGGTAAAGTGCAACTAAATCTAATAACTAAAAATTTGTATGTATTGTATCTATAGTGGGTTCATTAACTTTTTGGAATGACGTCATTTTTGGTTGTATCTGTTTCAACTAAGTCAACTGTGAACAAAAATCATTGTCCTTTCTTAATAACAGTCAATGCCTGTTTTGGTTATGTGTCTTTTATATATATATATATATATATATATATATATATATATATATATATATATATATATATATATATATATATATATATATATATATATATATATATATATATATATATATATATATATATATATATATATATATATGATGACACTATATTCCGGGATATCATCCGTTCGCTCGTTGAACTCCGACTGGAATCCTGCATCCGACTGGAATCCTGCAAATCTTGCATCCGACTGGAATCCTGCAGACGTTTCGCCAAAATCTCACTTGGCATCTTCAATGCTCGCGCTCCGAAAACACTTCGAACACTCGGAGCGCGAGCATTGAAGATGCCAAGTGAGATTTTGGCGAAACGTCTGCAGGATTCCAGTCGGATGCAAGATTTGCAGGATTCCAGTCGGATGCAGGATTCCAGTCGGAGTTCAACGAGCGAACGGATGATATCCCGGAATATAGTGTCATCACATTTTTCCATCCGTGAATCAATACGTGAGAATATATATATATATATATATATATATATATATATATATATATATATATATATATATTGGTCAAAACTGATTTTTTTATAAAATTTGCAAGACGCTGTGAAGATATAATCAGTCATCACTGCTAATACATTTGAATATTTTGGCTTTTCTTCAATGGAGTTCTTCCTCAAATTGAACGAGCTTCAAATGCAACACACCTTGACAATCATAAATATCACTTATACGTTTAGGTTAGTAGGTTAAGTTAGTTAGTAAATTTATTTGAAACCAGCGTGACGTGATTCCAGACACATAATACGCCCGCTATATGTATGTGAACTCTTGATTTAATCAAGGACAAGTTTCCTTGTGTGGATTTAAAAAGATTTTACAGAAACTTTTTAAGTGAAGGAGACAGTAAATTCTAAACTTCAACAGTACAGTAGGAAAAGCATTTCTGATATACAGCGCATTTATGTTTAGCAATTTAAAATCATTGTTGTCTCAATCTAGACTGGACTCTGGAGATCCTAATTAGTTTATGTGATAATTTTGCGAGTAAACATAAGAAAGTGATTTTTACGACGAGTCCTAGCGTTCATTCATTTCAGTTCAACCATTTTTAGATATGATCATATTAGATCAATCCAAAAACGAATGGACAACGTGTATTTTGAAATCTTTGAATGCATGTTTTTTCTATAACATTCAACGTTTTTTTTATACAATGGGTCAAATTAACGAAAATGTGAAAAATGAAGGAAGAACGGAAGAAACTGTAAGCAAGGTCCCAAGTGCACTCCCAAGTTGTTGGTTAAATTGACATTACGCGGCAAACCTGCGCACCCTTCGGTACAACCAACCTCCCTCCCCGCCACCAACGAAATCGCGCGTTTTTCACTCATCCCGACGTTAATAACGTAAATCACATTGGCGGCGTGAAACAAGCGAGCGACGTCGCGATGCTTTCCGTCGGTAACGGCGGTCGGCCAATGGGCGGCCGTGTCAGATTATGAAGACGTGAGGCGCGTTGCCAGGCGACCGCAAGCCGCCCCTTAATAAACCGCCCCCTGCCGCATATGCTGCTGCCGCGCTCGGGGTGGATTTAATACGATTTTGCGCTCGCTACCGAACTCGATGGGGGGTTTGCCGGGGGGGTCTGGTCGGGATGACACTTTCGGTATTTCTAAAGTTGGATAAAATAACGCAATTTTTCCATTGCCAAAGGTGAAGATATTATAAAACATGTTTTCATCAATCAAATCGAAAAAATACTATACTATGTTTCTTAATACTTCAAGTGTAAACTTGCATTGAGGAAGGCGAGTTTGCTGAATGAAAGTAACGTGACAGTGGCGTTATTACAAGATTATAAATATTGAAATGGGCAGATTATTGAAGTATTAATTGCTCCATTAAGTGACTAATATAAATAAGTTATTATTAAAAGAAAAACTATTTCCAATACAATTTGCAATAAATTCTAGTCATCAAGTTCCGAATAGTCGTTCTAGCTCAGAGGGACTATACAGTGTAAGCATGTTAAGAGCTTCCCTCATTCTTTCTTCTATTTCAATCACAAGTTTAACGCACTTACTTCATTTTTCATACTCTATTATTTTAAAAGTGATGTTATGGCTTGTTTCAAACCATTTTGCTTGCGACCATATGAATTCTATGGGGTTTACTTATATTTTGTTTCCTCGACAATAAATTTCGTACAAAGAGACTTATTCAAATATACAATCTCCAGTAGCTCATTGTTCAGCATTTCTTTCTGAATTTGTTTCTTATTTAAAGTAAACTAATGAATGATGTCATTTTTTCCAAGAAGGCGTGGATATTTTTTTCTGATTTCTAGCTGGCATTATCCATAACTAAAACAAAGTCAGGAGTAACAATTACTCTACAAAAACATCAGCATTGATGTCTTCATGGTAGTCCCCAATCCGTTTGATTGTAACGCTTGTAATCTACCACCGACAAATCCATTTTTGCTACCAATGTTATTCATCTTTTGCCTTCTCCGGTTTGATTCTTTATCCTGCCATTATTTTACCATATCCATATATCCTAACTAATCCCAGTTATCGTCGTCATCAACTGATAATTTCATCTTTCCCCATAAAATGTGATTTTCTGTTTTGGATTTTTTCTTAAAGAAAATTCATTTGCTTTAAAATTTTCCCCAATTTTTTCTTACTTTGGGTGGAATGATTTGATGAACCATTCTTCTTCATTTCAAACATTATTTTGTTTTTCTCGAATTAAGAAGCAAAGCCTAATATTGTAGGTGACAAAACGGTTATGTTTAATTTTGAATTTCTACAACTCGTTATTTATTTTAAAAAAATTCAATTTAAAACAATTTCTTCACACTTGGCGTCCACTTTAAAACCTTGTAATAACAATTAATGGAATATGCTCAAAAAGAAAATGTTAGAAAAAATCAATTTCCAAAAATATTCTCGCTCATATTACGCAATCTAAATATTACTACTTTTACTCGCCAATTCAGCTTATTGATAGATACATAAATATTTCTCCATATGTATATATTCGAACCTAATAAGAATTGTTGACAGGCTCATAAAAATTGGAATATTATTTCATGAATTTTTTGGTTTGTGTGTTTCTACGAATATATACATAATGTGTAACATTTTATTGAATTTAGGAATATAGGTGACAGACATTTTTTTCTATTCTGATGTGCTGATTGTATTATATAATTGATTGCAAATTTGTTGCAATTGCGTGGCTACTAGACTCATTTTAAATCTATTTTTTATAGCTCGTACTATAAAATACCCTGAAACACCGATCAGACCAGAAAGAATATTTCACAAATACTGTCATATATAATCTAATTTGCTCTTTATTTAAAAAATGTTTACACCTCTATCAATTTTCTTATAATTCTGGGCAACTATAAATTAACTAAAATTCGCCCAATAACGTAATTGAAACGAACTATTCGTTTTTGTATAATAAATAAATTATATTATAGTCGACATTATCCCATTGACTTATAAAG